AAAGTGTGTTTTTGCTGTTACATGCTGTATTTCAAAGCAGGGGAAATAATAAGGGTTGAAATGACAAAAGGAAAAAAATTGCGTGAAGTCAGTTCCTCCAGGTCTTTGGAACAAGTTTCAGTGACTCAGCCTGAACTTCAACGTCGTAAGCAATTAACATCTGTGAAATAAAAGGGAATTTGACAGAGAGTAAGCTCGTCTGTGTTTGCGTGTTGGAGTTGGCTGGAACGGACCGAGATAAGGTTTATTTTGGTGGAAGAAGTTTAGGTGAGATTATTTTTTTAATTTTCTTATGCACTTTGGATTAGATTGACGTCCAATTAATATTAATCTACTAAAGTTTAGTCTGATACATCATCAAAAGTTTATCGATGGAATTTTAATAATTCAAAATCATGGTGCTGACAAACCCTGCTTGTATCTTGCTTTTAACTCTCAAAGTCCAAAGCTTGCACTCTGATGTGGGTGGGGAGGTTATGGTGAGTTGCAACACCGTGCTACGACCAGAGCTGCTTTGGTTTTGATGGCAGGGAATTTCTGAATACTCGGTGCCTGAGCCCTACGAAAATTCACAGGATGGTGCCCGCCACATCAGGATGCTGTAGGAGTATGACCTTGGGCACGCTGCAAAGCCTAGGATTTTGCACCTGGAGTGTGACTGCATTATGATCTGCTTTAGAGCGAACAAAAACTAGGGGTGGTATGCTTACTTTTTTTCTTTTTTTTATTCAAATAGGTCAGTGGTCAGTGTATTTTGGCCAAAAATGGGGAGTTCAAAGTACAGAGCCTGTGGGGCTAATCAGAGTCATAGAAAGCCAGGTTGGACAGGACTTCAAGGATCATCTGGTTGAACCTTTCTTGGCAAAAGCACGGCCTAGACAAGATGCTGCAGTACCCTGTCCAGCCAAATCTTGAAGTGCCTGGTGTTGGGGAATCCATCTCTTTCCTGGGGAGATTATTCCAATGGCTGATTGTTCCCACTGTGAGAAATTTTCCTCTTGTGTCCAATTGGAGTCTTCCCTGGAGTAACTTGCACCCATTACCCCTTGTTTTTCCACGTGAGTCCTTGTAGAAAGGGAGTTTCCATCTTCTTTGTAGCCACCCTTTCAATACTGGAACATGGTGATGAGGTTTCCCCTAATCCTTGTTTTCCAAAGGCTGAACAAACCTGGTTCTCTCAGGCTTTCCTCATCTGGCAGGCTTCCCAGCCCTTGGATCATCTTTGTGGCCCTTCCCTGGACCTCTCCAGCCTGTCCACACCTTTTTTGCACAGCAGGGACCAAAACTGAACACAGTATTCCAGGTGCAGCCTGACAAGTGTTGAGTAGAGTGGGATAATGACTTCTTTGTCTCTGATGGTGCTGTCCTTGTTGATGCAGCCCAGCATCCCGTTGGCTTTCATTCCCGCAGCAGCCCACCGTTTGCTCATATTGAGCTGGTCCACCGGGACCCCCAGGTCCCTTTCCACAGAGCTGCTCCACAGCCGGGTAGATCCCAGCCTGTGCTGCACCCCTGGATGATGTTGTCCCAGGTGCAAGACCTTACTCTTGTCCTTGTTGAACTTCCAAGGTTCTTGCCAGCCCACTCTTCCAGCCTACCCAGGTCTTCCTGCAGGGTGGCTCTCCCTTCCAAAATGTCCACTTCCCCACTCAGTGGGGTATCATCAATTATGCTGCGCTTGAACCCATCACCCAGACCCCTTATGAAGGTACTGAAGAGCGTTGGGCCCAATATCAGTCCCTGGGGGACGGACCCCGCTTGTGGCAGGTTACCAGCTTGAGAAGGAGCTGTTGACCACCTCCCCCTGGGAGCAAATGTCAGCCAGGTCCCACCCACCGCACCATCACTCGCCTAGACCGTAACCCATCGGTGTCTCCAGGAGGAGGTGGTGGGAAACCACACTGAAAGCCTTGGAGAAATCCAGGTAGACCGTGTCCACCGCTCGGCCCACATCAACTAAGCAGGTTACTTTGTCATAGTATCAACTTCAGTCTTCTAGGAGGCGTATAACCATCGGCCTATCTCCAGTTTTTCAGCTGTGTGGTTGCTGGAATAAATTCCAAGTTTGCTGGACCAGACTCTGCCTGGATCCAGGATGCTGACACCTTCGGCCCTGAGAGAAAGAGCTGACATGAGTGCTCTCTGTCATGTTGCAGAAGCTGACAGGGCCTGAAGTACAACTATTTTTTGTTTGTTTATGTGGTTTTTGGTTTGTTTTGTTTTTAATAGCCCTTCAGTGCCTTGCAACGTGGCTCAGAGTGGGAGGGAGAAGGGA